TTCCCTAGAGACCACTGTATCGCATTGTTTATACTACGGAGTCTCCCTGGACAGGAAAGCAGAAAATCAGTGGAGTGACTAAAAGGCAGCTGTTTCATATATTCCAATCTATCAGTTTAGTCTTGGCTATTCATTGGTTGATCATCATGACTTATTGCTTAGAATCCAGACCAACAATAGTATGGTTAACAATTTAGTTTGTATTTTGCTCATAAAACAAATCCAGCATGTCAGGTAAATTCTGCAGGCTTTTGTTACAAAGTTTAATATGCATAAATTAAGAATGTTGTTGCTGCTTGTGAAACTAAATTATTTGTGATTTTTTTTTATTTTATTTTTTTTAACAAAGGAATTCAGATTGTTTTTTTTTTAATATAGAAAATGCAGAACACTTGAGAGTCCTGCATACATCAACATTTTAGCTTTATTATTAGCTTTACATATAGGGGATAGTCACTAAATGTTGATTTTATTCACAGGTCAAGTGAAAGGGAGCAACAGAGGGTAAAAAAAATAGGAGTAGTGTATATATCCATATCCAAAAAGTAAACAAGAGCACTCAATGGTTATGAAAGTAAAAAAAAAAAATTTGTATTTATGGGTGCATATACAGATCAACATTTCGGCCGACAAGTCGTCCTTTACCAAGACGACCTTGATAAAGGCCAGTTTGTCGGCTGAGACGTCGATCTGTATATGCGACCGTGAATACACATTTTTTTCACTTTCAAAACCATTGAGTGCTCTTGTTTAATTTTGGATATATTTAATGCGCTGGGAAGCAACCTGGTATTGTATTGAGGTTGTCAATCAAAAGGGAAGAGTGCCAGAAATTACTACTATAGATCGATAGAGATTTGTAGATTTTTTTTACTGCTTGTTCTCTTTTTCCTTTTATTGGTTACTTATTCTCACTTGATCTGTTAATCAAATTGTGGGAAACTGCTCCTATCAGTGTATTGCTAAATATGCACAGGTTAGCTACAAAATTAATAAAGAAATAGAACATTAGTAATGAAGAAAAGTTAACAAAATTTAAACCTCTTTTAGAATAAGGGTGCCTCAGAAGGGATATGCTAGCATTATATAAATATATTTGGGGTCAATACAAACTATTGTCTGAAATTCTATCCATAAACAGGACGATACATAGGACATGAGGTCCCATCTTTAGACTGGAAAAAGGAGATTTAGTCTAAAAAAAGGATAGTAAGAACAATAAGGATGTGGGATTCTCTGCCTGAAGAAGTGGTTTTATCAGAGTCTGTACCAATATTTAAACAGCAATTGGATGCATACTTGCAAAAACACAATATGCAGGGATATACATTTTAGTTTATAATAGCTTTTTTTTTTGTAATAGCTTCTTGACCAATGATAAATCTGACTGCCATTCTGGAGTCAAAAAGGATTTTTTTTTCCTAGTTTGTTGTAAAATTGGAAGTGCTTCAAACTGTTTTTCTTTTTGCCTTCTTTTAAATCAACAGCAAAAACAGATGTGAAAAAGGCTGATGGACACATCACTTTTCATCCTATGTAACTATTATCAACTAAACATTTGATAACATTCATAATATGTACATTATTTTAAGTACAATGTCACATCATGAAATAAAGTGGAAGAGATAAGAGCTTTGTGTCTGTGAGTGTGTTTACTTAGTGTGTCTTAGTGTGTCTGTGTCACTTAAACAGGCAGTTCTCTATGCATTAAAAATATAATTGTAAAAGACTATTGATAATGACTACTTATGTAAAATCTTTATTAATTTATTTAAATTCTCATTACAAGAACTGATAGAAAAAGGTACAGCATGGTAGCTGTGTGTGTGTGTATATATATATATATATATATATATATATATATATATTTATTTATTTTGATTTTTTTTTCCCTACTCGTTCTATTTTTCCTTTATTGGTTACTTATTCTCACTTGATCTCTGAATCAAATTGTGGGAAACTGCTCCTATCAGTGTACTGCTAATATTTACATAATATTATATAATGTGTATTTTTTGCAGAACACTGATTGGCCCGTGTTTAATCTCTTTTGGTCAATCCAAACTTTGGACATCCCAAAAATGTCTCTGCTTTCTGGTTTGGCTGAGCTGAAGTTTCTCGCTGCAAACAAGTCTACTTAATAAAAGAATGGACTTAGGATACTAAAGACACTATAACCACTTAATTGAGATGAAGTGGTTACTGTATCTACAGTGTCCCTTTAAACATGTAAGAAGAGATAAATGTGTGTATATACTATAATCCATATGTTCCAAAGCTCAAATTCTGGGAAGTACTGTTTGAAATCCAGTCAGCAGCCTGAGTATCAATCCTTTTAGTGTGGCAAAAACAGTGCCCTATCAGCATCTACCAACTGTGTATGCAGAGGCCGTTTGAATATTCACACTGGAAGAGTAAGCCATGCAGGGTGAAACTACAATGAAAGGCATTTCAAAATATTGAAACCTACCACTTTTTAAAATAGAAATTTTTCTACAATGAGTTATTATTGTTATTATTATTATTTTATTATTTATATAGCACCGTCAGATTCCGTAGCGCTGTACAATGGGTGGACTAACAGACATGTAATTGTAACCAGACAACTGGACTTACAGAAACAGAGAGATGGAGGGCCCTGCTCAATGAGCTTACATTCTAGAGGGAGTGGGGTATAGTGACACAAAGGGTCCAAGTATGGGTACAAAGTAGGTTGTTAGAAAAGTATTCAATGAGTGCTTAGTAGGTAATTGTTGAGAGTTGCAGGAGAGGGGTCATGGAGGTGGGGTATAAAAACCTGCTAACAGTTAAATTGATATGCTTTCTTGAAGAAGTGAGGTTTCAATTATTTTTTGAATGAGTAGAGACTGGGTGAAAGTCTTACAGGGAGGGGAGTTCCACAAAAGAGGTGCAGCCCTGGAGAAATTTTGGAGGTGAGCATTAGAGGTGGGAGTACGGACAGAGGATATTCGTCGGTCTTAGGCAGAGCGTAGGGGCCTTGACGGGACATACTTGTGTATTAGGGAGGATAGGTAGGTTGGAGCAGCATTATGTAGGGACTTGTAAGCAAGCACCAGAATTTTAAATTGAGCCCTATATCTAACTGGAAATGGAAGCGACATGATTTGGCGATTGATTGGACATGAGGGTTGAAGGAGAGGTTGGAGTCAAAGAGAACACCCAGGCAGCGATCCTGCGAGGTAGAGGTGATGGTAGCGCCATTGACAGACACGGGAGTAGTAACACTTGAGGGAGGAAAGACCAGAAGTTGAGTTTAAGGAAGTGAGCAGCCATCCAGTTGGAAATCGCAGTCAGAGACACCAGTCAAGATGGGCGGAGAGAGATCAGGAGAGGACAGGTAGATTTGCGTGTCATCCCCATAGAAATGATAATGGAAGCCAAAGAAGCTGGGGGGATGCCGACAGAGAGTGGTTGGGCGGGAAACAGGCAGAGTCAGAGAAAGAAACACTGAGAGCACTGGGAGAGGTAGGAGGAGCACCAGGACAGAGCAGTATGCCATAGACCAAAATTATGGAGAATACGAAGAAGCTGTTGATGAGCAACAGTGTCAAAGGCATCAGAAAGATCAAGAAGAATTAGAATAGAGTAATGGCTCCGAGATTTAGCAGCAATTAAATCGTTGGATACTTTGGTCACAGCCGTTTCAACAGAATGACCTCTTTCAGAATAAGGTTGCCTCAGAAGGGAGTTAAAAAATGGAAATGCCACACTCAGTTCAGGCAGGGATCACTTGTACAGTAAACTCCCACACAGTGTATATTACATAGGGAAGAAGTTAGCAATTTTCAAATCACATGCAGTAGCTCTGAACCACACTGAAATTTAAAATAATCTATCTTTTCCTAGAAATAAAATAAATTCATCAATCACAAACTAGTAGAATAACTGTAAATCAGTGAATAAAAGCTTGTGCAAGTGGAATTGACAGTAGCTATGCAAGAGAAGCTTTTTAACTAGCCTTCATCTCCACATGAGCAGTAGGCTGAGTAGATTGCTAATGGAAATGGTGGTGGCAACGGTGGTTTTCGTCCTGGTTGTGGTGGTGAATAGTAAGCAGGGGCGGACTGACCACTCGGGCATATCGGTCATGGACCGAGGGCCCGAGGCAGTCAGGGGCCCGGCCGCACAGCCATGCTCCAGCTGGAAAGATCAGAGATCTCTCCAACTGAAACGGCAAAAAAAATAAATAAAATATTTAATTGATAGGTTGTGGGGCCCCTGATGGAGTGTGGCCCCACAACCTACAGCACTCTAAATCACTCCCCCCCCCCCAATGAGACCAAGCATCTTAACCACCTCTCTGCCAGGTCTCCTTCTCCCTGTTCCGCGGTGCTCTGTGTGATGGGAGAGGTGGGGCCAGGAAGTGACATCACTTCCTGTACTCTCCTCTCTCACACAGAGCTGATCAGCCAGCAGCCTGGGAGACCAGAGGGAGCAGAGAGACAGGTAGCAACCAATCACCCCCCCCACTGTGTCACTAGTCACCCCCCCACTGTGTCACTAGTCACCCCCTTCCCTCCCTGTCACTAGTCACCCCCCCTCACTGTCACTAGTCACCCCCTCACTGTCACCCCTCCTTCACTGTCACTAGTCACCCTCCCTCACTAGTCGCCCCCTCACTGTCACTAGCCCCCCTCAGTCACTAGTCAGCACTATCACTACTCACTGTCAAGTCCCCTCACTGTCACTAGTCACCCCCACCACTGTCACTAGTCACCCCCACCACTGTCATAGTCATCCCCTCACTGTCACTAGTCAACCCCCACTGTGCCACTAGTCACCCCCCTCACTGTGTCACTAGTAACCCCCTCCCTCACTGTGTCACTAGTAACCCCCACCCTCACTGTGTCACTAGTAACCCCTCCCTCACTCTGTTACTAGTCACCCCTTCCCTTCCTTACTCTGTCACTAGTCACCCCCTCCCTCTGTCACTGGTCATCCCCTCCCTCACTCTGTCACTAGTCACCCACTCACTCTAGTGACAGAGTGAGGGAGAGGGTGACTGGTGACAGAGTGAGGGAGGGGATGACTAGTGACAGAGTTAAGGAGGGAGTGACTAGTGACAGAGGAAGGGATGGGGTGACTAGTGACAGTCACCCCTTCCTCACTCGGTCACTGTGTCAGCCCCTTCCTCGCTCTGTCACTAGTCACCCCCTCTCTCACTCTGTCACCAGTCATTCCCTCACTCTGTCATCAGTCATCCATTCCTTCCCTCACTCTGCCACTAGTCATCCCTTCCCTCACTCTGTCACCAGTCACCCCTTCCTTCCTTCACAGTGACAGAGAGAGGGATGGGGTGACTAGTGACAGAGAGAGGGATGGGGTGACTAGTGACAGAGTAAGGAAGAGGGTGACTAGGGACAGAGGGGGTGAGTAGTGACATGGAGTTCTACATTACAGTCGTTAGTCTTTTATAGCAGTGAATAGCCACTGGCTGATTATTGTTTAGACATACCATAGCATCAGCATGGCAGGTAGGGGAATGAAGGAGGATGTAAATTGCTCTTTTAATTATATGGGGTTATATCTACCACATAAGGTTTTATTTTATGGTTAGTTCAGATATCTCTCCTGAACTCAGTGTGTAGAGTTAATATAACCCATGGGGGAGAGGAAGTGGCACAGAGCTTCTATACATAAATTATCTTATTACAAGGTTGGATGCCTGTAGCTCTCTCCTTGTAATCAGACAAATACCAAAGTACAAATACACAGTACATTTTGGTCATTCAAGTTTCAGACAAATACGCATTTGGCTAAAAAACAAATGTCCAAGTCTAAAACATAGGAATGCAGATGAAATATTTATTCATTTATTAATCGAAATCTCAAATGTTGAGCCAAACTGTCCGTAACCATAAACCAAACAAAACATTTAATGGCCAAGCATGTTTGTTTCAGTACTGGAGACCGTATCTCCAGAAGGATGTTGATATTTTAGAAAGAGTTCAGAGAAGGGCTACTAAACTGGTTCATTACAAGATAAAAAACTTACCAGGAAAGGTTAAAGGATCTTAACATGTATAGCTTGGAGGAAAGACGAGACAGAGGGGATATGATAGAAACATTTAAATACATCAAGGGAATCAACACCATAAAGTAGGAGACTATATTTAAAAGAAGAAAAACTACTACAACAAGAGGGGCAAATGTTTTTAAATAGCTTTCCAGCTGAAGTGGTAGAGGTTAACACAGAGAGGGAGTTTAAAGGATCACTATAGGGTCAGGAACACAAACATGTATTCCTGACCCTATATAGTGTTAACACCACCATCTAGCCCCCCTGGGCCCTTCACGCCTTCATAAATATAGCAAAATCTTACTGTATTCAAGCCAGAAGCTGTAACTCTGCATGCTGTTTGCCTCAAAAAAAATAAAAACAAGCAGTCTGCTGACATCATCAGAAGTGATAGCCTGATCCAATCACAATGCTTCCTCATAGGATTGACTGAGACTGACAAAGAGGCGCCAATCAGCATCTCCTCATAGAGATGAATTAAATCAATGAATCTCTATGAGGAAAGTTCAGTGTCTGCATGCAGAGGGAGGAGATACTGAATGTTTGGATTCATTTTAGGCAGCCATTACCCAGGGAGGATCTCTAACAGCCATCTGAGGAGTGGCCAGTGAAGTTATCACTAGGCTGTGATGTAAAGACTGCATTTTCTCTGAAAAGACAGTGTTTACAGCAAAAAGCCTGAAGGTAATGATTCTACTCACCAGAACAAATTCAAATTTCATTAGGCCAGGGATTAATGAAAGTATTTTAAAAAAAAATTGGCAGACTAAGGTTCTTATCTGCTGTCACATTCTATGTTTCTATGTTTCACAATATATATTGCATAATATCAATTAATATCCCTCTTATCATTTGCTCTAATTAGTCTGTCAAGCAAAATATGGAGAAAAGATGATTACTTCCTGATATGGACAATGCTTAATGCTTATTAGGATAGATTTTTATAGGCATGTGGTTTGAAATGAAAACAAAAATGGAACATATCACTACACTAACACTATAATTAAGATCTTTTATCCTCAGAGAATTAAACTAATTTAGAGATATATAGACCTGTCCATCTTAGAGCTACATAATTGTATGTTAAAAAGTTGTTTGTTTCTAAACACTTATAAAAATATTTAGTAATCAAATTAGATGAAAACATAGTAAACAGGTCTATATTATCAGTAGCAATTAAGGGTTTATGTTCCTGCACTATTGTTATTCTTCTTTCTCCCTTATTTTGCATTACAGTGCTAAAAATACATTGTTAGCAGAATGATATTGGTAATTGCTGTCAGAAATGTGATTCATAACTTAGAATATAATGTCTCTAAAGAAAAATAATAGAACATGCACAATTACAAGCGCTTTTGTAAAGAATTGTTTGTTCTTGTTCTGTATGTGTGATTTTGCATAACCTTGGGAAGTACTAGCAACATTACTTAATATTGGTGTTGCTGAAATTACCTTAATTTATACAAAATACATCAAAACAAAATAGCAAACAAACAAAATAGTATGAATAACATTGGAATTTAGCCAACTCTTATGGTCATAGTATGTTAATACCTCCTTGATGTAAAATCACAAGAGAATTGGTGAATGCTAAACTTTTTATATTTTTAATATAATAATAATTTGCAGTAGTTTTTTTCTATGACGCTCAGTAGATTTTTTAAATGCCACCTCTCTTCAACCTTATGTCACTTTGTAAGGAGTACTATTTCCCTTAGAAAGCTAGCAAATGCATAGACAGACTTATTTAAAAATATATCTTGATACTTGCAGCTGAGTCATCGAGACTGCAAATCTGAGGCGGCTCTCTAAGAAAGCGATTTAGGTGGCCGCCTAAGGCCTTGTGCTCCTAAATCGCCTTGTGCTCCTAAATCGACACAGGAGTGGGCCCATTGGCTTGCTCATTATGCCACCAGGTGCAAGGCCCCTCCGCTCAGTCTGCCCTCGTCTGCAGCTCTTCATGGTGCAAAGCTGCAGACTGAGGTGTCTCACGATCTCCAGCAAACCAGAGCATTGCCGCGGGTTACCACGGCAATGCTCTGACTGGAGATCGCAAGACTTACTATGTGGTCTTCAGCTTTACAGCCGGCAGAGCTGCAGTAAAGATAGGAAGCCCACCAGACCACCAGGGATAGAGCCATCCCACCGGTTTACCAGGAGTAGAGCCAGCCCACCAGACCATAAGGGATAGAGCCAGCCCAATGGACCACCAGGGAATCAATTTAGTAAAAAAAAAAAAATATTTATGAAGCCCCCGTATACTCTGTCACAGTCCCCACACTATCTCCTACCCTATTACAGCCTTTCTTGTCACGGTTCTCCACCACCTCCTACCATGTCACAGCCCCTTCACCCCCTCTTCCCTGTCACAGCCCATAACCACACACTGTCACCCAACACTCCATGTCAGAGCCCCTACACACCTTGTCACAGCCCCCCCCACCACACACACATTTTGTCATCCCGACCCAAACGCTCTCATCCACACACATAAATATTTTATTTATATTAAATTATGTTTCTTGGCTAAATATTTGATAAATGAAAGCCCTATTTTTCCTGAATAAAATGATATATAATAAGTGTGGGTGCACTCAGGGTTGTCTTTAATACTGATTGGACCCTGGGCAGGTATTTGATTGGGGCCCCTTGACCTAGCCCTTCCCCTTCCTAGCATGCATTCACACCGTCAACGCCCACAAAAAAAAAAAAAACACACACTTAACCCTCTCATTTCTTACTGAGACAAAATACACACACTAACACACATACAGATGGAAACACTGACATACATAGAGATGCACACATACACAGGTACAGACATATATAGAGAGATACACAGACACACATGCAGATACACTCTGACACACCTACATACACTGATGCACAGATACACTGACAAACATGCAGATAAACAGAAACACTAACACACAAACATACATGCAGATACACACAATAACATACAGATACATACACAGACCCACATGCAGATACAGATACCGACACTGACACATATACAGATACACAGACACACAGAATGATACACATTCAATTACACAGAATGACACTCACACAGATACAAACACACATGCAGATACACAGACACACACATATACAAACAGACACAGAGACACACAGATACATATACAAAGACACACACGGAAACACACAAACACATACTGATACACAGGGTCACATAGAGACACGTGCAGATACAGAAACACACAAACATACACACATACATACATACAGACACACACATGCATACATACAGACACTTACTTACATACAAACACATACATACAGACATACATACAAACAGACATACATACAAACAGACATACATGCACATTTTTTATGTGTTTCCTACCTTTGGAGTGCAGGAGGCTGGCTCAGGCTGATGGGAGTCAGAGTTCCAGTATTCACAATTCCAGCGGAGCAAAGGTCCTTGTCAGGACTAGCGCTCCGCTAAAGATGAAAATTCTTGTTCTTGGGTAAAATATTGGCTTAAAAATAGAGTACACAATAGTGGAACCACTTCTATTTAACATATTTATTAATGATCTTGAAATAAGCAATTAAAGTCATGTTTCAGTGTTTGTAGATGACAAAACTCTGCAAAGTAATACAATGTGAGCAGGATATTACTTTGCTGCAGAGGGATTTAGATAAACTGGGGGACTGGACACTCAAATGACCTATCACATTTAATGTAGAAAAATGCAAAGTTATGCACTTCGGTGGAAAGAATGCACAAGCAACTTACACCCTAATTAGTAGTAAATTAGGGATAACATACGGGAAGTTTCTGGGACTTGTTATAGACAACAAACTAGGCAACAATTAATTGTCAATCAGCGGTGGCTAGGGCACGTAAGATATTGACATGTATAAAAAGGGGAATTAATTGTCGTGATGAGAATATAATTTTGCCTCTTTGTAAATCACTGGTAAGAACACATCTTGAATATGCTGTGCAATTTTGGACACCTGTTCTAAAGAAGTATATTATAACACTAGAAAAATTGTAGAGTTGGGCTACCAAAGTAATAAACGGAATATAATATTTTACCAATGAAGAAAGGTTTACAAAATAAAACATTTTGTAATCTAAAACAATATCTTTAAATTAGTACATTAACCATCAATGTGGAACCGTAGTAAAGGCTTTGGCAAAATCCAAATATATAACATCTACTGAGGTGCACTTCTAATGACTATACTGTAAGCT